ACCACCACCACAGGCATTCCTCCGTCCGAGCGCGGCCGAGCCGAGCACCAGGACGTCGAGAGACAAAGGGCCCGCCAGCAGCCACGCGATCCTCGGCCTCCTCGACGTCGTCCCCCGGGCCCTGCCAAGGCCCTGCCAAGGCCCTGCCGCCCTCGGGGCCCTCCGTCACTGCCACTGCACGCCATCGCCGTCCCTCGTCTTCGATTCGGATCGGATCGCGTTCCCCGTTCCGAGCTCGCCGCCGCGCCGCCCGGCAACAAGAGGAGGAGGAACTCCAACTCCAGCTCGGCGCGCGGCCTGGCCGTGGCGAGCCGCGCCGGTCGAGGGCCAGTGCCGGGCATATCCCGGACAAGGGGTTCAATTCAATGAGTCTCTGAGCAAACACCGCCCCGCGGCCCTGCGACGCGGGGGCCGACGAGGGGCCCGACGGGGTGGGGGCACAGCGGGGCCTTTCAGCGCGCCGGTTTAGTTTCAGGTCTCCTGCACTGCACACCCATTCCGACATTCGCTGTCTCCCTCGCACTAATGTGCCGTCCTGTAGGGGTGCGAGACAGACAGCGTCGGAACGCTGTTGTTGGAAATCACTGCGCGCAGCCCGCACTCCGCCATGCTCACCATGCTCGCTGCACAACGCCCCTTCACACGCGGAAGTGGGGGGGGGGGCTCGCCGTGCTCGCAGACGGTTTGCAGACGGCCGGCGGACGGGCGGGCGCAGCGGCGCAGCGCAGGCAGCCACGCGGGCGGCGGGCGTGGCGGAGAGCGGAACGCGGGTCACGGGCAGTCACCGCCGCCGCGCCGCCCCGCCGCTGCAGCCAGCCGCCAGCCGCGGTACGGAGTCCGCCTCGCCTCGCCTCTCGGCCGGCAGTCGGCAGGCAGCCCATGGGTCCCATGGGCTGCAGCCCAGCCCAGCCCAGCCACCTGCACAGACGGCGCGCGCCACGCACGCCAGAAATCCGCCAGCCTTTCGACTCCTTTTGTCAGTGGACGACTCGACGGCGAGCTTCGCAGGCAGAGGAACAGCCGGGCCGGGCGGCCGGGCAGGGCACTACACCGGAAACCGCACGCACGGCCGGCACCACGCGCTTCACCACCACGGCGGCGGGGCCAGGCGGGACGGCCTGGTCTGAAAAGCCACCGCCATCTCACCGCCCCATCGGAGAAACCGGCCGTTTCGGCAACAGCGAGCGAGCGGTCCACTGGTCCACCGCGTCGTCGTGGTCGTCGTGGACTCCAGGAACCGGTCAACGGCCGCGCCCTGTGCAACCAGGAACGCGGCTAGACCACGGCCTCGATGTTCGTCGCCGACGCGCCAGCGCGCGAGCTATGCAGGCGATGCAGCCACGCATCGGGGACACGGACACGATCCTCGTGCCATCCATTCCCCCAGACACACCAAAGTCCGAAGCTCAGCCGCGCCGACTATGGACGACCGGTCAAGAGCAGCTTGGCCGGCAACCCGAGCCAAGTACGGCCCCGGCCAGCGCGCGCCCCACGGCCCCTCGGTGGGGCCCGCCCCGCCCCGCCCCGCCCCGCCCCGCCCCAACCAGCCACCAGGAGGACCACAAAAGCTACTTTACTCTTTGCTGGTTTACAATGACGGCGCGCCATTCGGCCCACGGCAAGCCGTCGGCAAGCCGGAGCATTCAGGATAGAAGAAAGGACGGGCACAGGCCCAGAGGCTGCCAGAGGCTGCCAGGGGCACGCCACTGGTATGGTGGCACGCCACGCCCCGGCACATCCCGGCCAAAAGTTGCTGCGCTCCCAGCGAGACACGAATAGCGAACATAAGAACAACAACCGAACCAGCGGGCTAATGTATGGACCCTCGCAACCTTGCGCCGAGCCAGCCAGGCGGCCTGGCGAGCAGGCAGGCGAGCAGGCAGGCGAGAGCAACCAGGAGCAACCCCGCGGGAGAGGAAGAAGGAAAACCCCCGCGACAAGGAAACTCTAATCCGATGAATGAATGAGGCCACTGACTCCACAAGCTTCCTTTTCCATAAATTGGAATACTCTTACGGCAGCCAGGTCAAGAGGCTCCCCGCGTCGCGGTGCAGTGCAGTCCGCGGCCCGCAGTACGTAGACCGATTCCGACGCTCTGTCTCTCTCGCACTCACGGGGCGTCCGGGAGAGGTGCGACAGAGACGAAAACGACTCTCAGGCTGCAGTCCGTGGGACTCATTCGGACTCATTTCGACCGCCGGCTGCTCGATTCAGCGATTCAGCGTGCCCTCTCGCCCGTGATAAGTCGTCGCGCCGTCCCTCTCGCACCCCTGCGGCCTTCGGAACGCCCAGCGAGTGCGAGAGAGACGGAGCGACGCAAGGCGAGCGACGAGAGTACTGCTGGGAATGCTGCGGCACGGCCTGCACGGCCTGCACGGCCTGCACCGCCACCGCCCGGCAAGGCGAGGCCGCCGAGGCCGGCGAGGTGACGACGGGAGCCTCATTTGGCGTCCGGGCTGCTCCCATCCGCTGGCGGTGCTGCGCGCTGCGCCGTGCTACGCCGCGCTACGCGCCATAAGGGTGACGGGTTATAAAACTGGTTACGAAAAAGGAAACGCGGACATTAACATAGTCCTACACGCTTTTGGGCAGCCGGGCCGCGGACGAATGCAGCAGGATGCTGCGGGGAGAAAGCTCGGGCAGGCCGGCGACGAGGACGACGACGACGACGTGCGTGGAGGACGACGACGACCTGGGCCCCAGTCCAGAGCAGGCGAAAAACTAGAGTGTCCAAGGACGGGAACAGGTTCAGGAGCCCGAGGAGTTCATGGGTTAATAGACCCGCCTCGCTTGGGCCCGCGCAGGATCCGCTCGACGGGTTCATAAACTGCACGGCCTGCACGGCCGGCACGGCCAGCTTGTTGCAGAGACGGGTTCATTATGGCAGCGCGGAGTGAACCGCGGCAAAATCATTAGCATGGAGTGCGCGGAGCACTCTTGGAGCAGTGGCGCGCAAAAATCCCTCCAGTGCCACGAGGACGACGACGACGATGACGACGGGGAGGTTCAAGCCGTGGGACCGCTCGGGGTGTATTAGGCAGAGGCAGATCCAGTATGCAAAGTTGAAATGAATACAGCGGGCTCCACGTCCAGGAATGCCGACGACCCCACGGCCACCATGCAGCCACCCACCCCCCTAACAGCAGCACTCCCCTGCGCACTTATATCGATACTCTCGAAACTCGTCGAGATGCGCGATGCGCCGCGCGGTCCTCGCGGAACCACTTTCACAAACATCCCTCCCTCCCTCCCGGCCAAATCACATTTCCTATCGGGGGATTTATTTTCTTTCCATTTCCAGGACGGTAAACCAGGCTCGGACTGGCCCCCAAAAGGCCCCGGCGGATAAGACCGCAAAAGGCCACCGATCATCATTGTTTTTTACCCTTCATGACCAACTTTGTGAAGCTAACGCTCCCAAACTATTTGCGGTCAATAGCCTTCCCGTACAGGACATGAAAGAGTAGGGTCTTAAGAATTCTAGGACGTCGAGGGAGGCCTTTTACGGCAACTAGATTGGACACAGTGGCCGCCCAAAGTCAGTAAAATCAGCAAATTTCCAAGATTCGACCACTTTTTGACCAACTTGGTCCCAAAATCGTTGCGGTCAAAGGCAAAATCGTTGTGGTCAACGTCTTCCCGATACAGGGCATGAAAGAGTAGGGTCTTCAGAATACTAGGACGTCGAGGGAGGCCTTTTACGGCAACTAGATTGGACACAGTGGCCGCCCAAAGTCAGTAAAATCAGCAAATTTCCGAGATTCGACCACTTTTTGACCAACTTTGGTCCCAAATCGTTGCGGTCAAAGGCAAAATCGTTGTGGTCAACGTCTTCCCGATACAGGGCATGAAAGAGTAGGGTCTTAAGAATACTAAGGCGTTGAGGGAGGCCGTTGGCCGCAACTAGATCGGACGCAGTGGCCGCTCAAATTCAGCGAAAACGGCTACTTTCGGAGATTCAATCACTTTTTGTGACCAACTGGCCCCGGCATATTTTTCTGCCCGTCTGCTCTGGCCAGTCCGAGCCTGCGGTAAACTCCTAACAAGCGCGTCGGGCGCCGTCCTGGAGGCGGAGGACACGAAGAACAGCGTGTCGAAAGACGGGGAACTTCAGCCGGGGGTGATCCACCCCCTGGCAGGCCAGGGTTTCGAAGGTCTCCTGGAACGAGGCTCCGCTCAGGCCGCTCCTAGATCCGCCCCTGGACCCGCCCCCCGCGAATGCACCTGCAGCTTGCGCTGGCTTGCGCCACGGCTGCAGCTGCCTTATCGCAGAGATAACAGCTTGCTTGCCGATGACGTCATTCGCGGCCCGATGATGACGGACCGTGACGGACCAACGCCACTTTTTTGTCCATTTTTTTGTTCCAGTGTGTCGGCCGCTGGACGGGCGTTACTCTGACTGGCTGCGCCGCGGCTGCCCCGACGAGTTTTCGTTAATATCCTGGGTGCTGGGCAGTGCTGGGTGCCGCTGGGTGCCGCTGGGTGCGCAGCCTGGCCACGGCTCGCAGCCACACAAACTCGCGCCGCGCCCGGCTTTATGCCAAAGCAGTAAAGATGCACATCGCGTCGTTAAAACGGAATCGTCAAGCTAACGACGAAGAGGAGGAGGAGGAAGAGGATGCGTGGGAGGGGGGGAGGAGCACCCCCGCAACAACGCCCGCAACGCCACAATGGTCCAAGTGGCCAAAAATGTTTCCAGTGTTGCCACCGTTGCCACGTGGTCTCGCCTGTCAAATGGGGCAGCGGCGCACCATGCGGCGCACCATGCGGCGCACCATGCGGGACACGTTCCGATACGTGATACCGTACCGCCTCACTGCTGTTCCACTGCTGTTCCGTCGTCTCGTCCGTCGAAGGCAGGCGAGGCAGTAGGCGCCCCTCCACCGCACTGCACGGTTCCGTCAAAGAGCGCAGCAGAGCGGCCCTGTTGTTTCGTCAAATGGGGCCGTGGTGCCTCATTCAAGCATCCTCAGCGACGTTGCCGGGTGTACTATACTCACCAACTTGCAGCACGTGATCCACGCATCCCGACTCGAGCAGTTTTAATCCTTTATAGAACGACAGGTTGGGGTCGGCGCTGGCGCTGACGGCGGGCACCCGGGACAGCGACGAGTACATGCAGATGTCGCGCTCGTCGCGGGGGAACGACCAGAAGATGACGCGGCGCTGCACGGGCTCGGGGATGCGGGCGTACCGCTCCTCGATCCGCTGGAAGGGGATGTTCTCGGCCACGATCTTGGCCGTGATGTCGAGCAGCGTGTCAGGGCTGCGCTCGCAGCAGCGGTACCGCCCGCTCGGCCCGGCGCCACCCCCGCCAGGACCACCCGGGGGACCCGCGTCCAGGAAGGCGGGGTGGCCAACGCGAGAGCAACACAATCGCTTGGCCCCCGCCATGCTGGCGACACTCGCACACACGCACACACACAGACACTCGCACTGCACGCACACACTGCACTGGGCGCGGCGCGGGTGGGACTCTGCCAGGGACTGGCACGCACGCGGCGTAGGGCGCGGCACGCACGCACTGCCTCGCGGTGCTCGCTCCTCGCGACGTCACGCAGCACTGAGGAGAAGGAGAAGGCAAGGCTTCTCCCTGCCTGCCTGCCTGCCTGGCTGCCTGGCCGGCTGCAGCAGCGGTCACGCTCTGCGCATGCGCGCCGCGCCGCACCGCGGTGGTGGGGGGGCGTCGCGGGGCGTAGCGGGGGTGGCGCGGGGAGACTCAATCACAGCTGACGAGCCTGCTGGCTGCCAGCTCGCCTGGCCGCCTGGCCGGTCCGCGTAGCGGCGTAGCGGCGTTTGTTTATACTCTCCACATGTTATGGAGGCGCGGGGCGCGGCGCGGGGACGGCGGGGCGCGCCTCCCCCTCCACTCCCCACCCCCCGCTCCGCCCGCTCCGCCACTGCCGCTGCAGCCGCCGCCACTGCGTAAGGTGCGGCGCCGACAAAGCACACAGTGGTGAATGGTGGGGAGGGGTGGGGAAGCGGTGGGAAACAGGGTAAAGTGTCGGAGTGGGCGGCGCGGGGCTGCGCGGGGCTGCGCGGCGCGAAGCGAGTGGCGAGTGGCCCTGAGTGCGACCACCAGCGGGGCCCCCGCCAAGCCCCGCACCGCGGTGCCTCCACGTCCATGGTGCCGCGCCGAACAGAGTCACTCCACGGCCTTCTTGCAGAGCATTGCAGAGCATTGCAGAGCGCTTCCGAGTCCGGGGGCAGCCATTGCCATTGCGAGGCGAACCGAGCGAACTACAGTCGAGGTGCCTGGTCGGCTCGGCTACTCGGCCTCCCTTTCCGAGCCCCTTTGGGGGCAATGGTGTTTCCAGAGGCCCCGGATGGGCTGGTTTCCTCGGTGCTCATGTCGGCCACGCGTGTGCAAAGCGTCGCCCCCACCCCGCCCCTGTTTTATGCCCCCCCCCCCCCGCATCCGACAGCTGTATGGAAACTGCAACAAACGGTAATTAGTCATTACGGCCCCGTTTATTCCACGCGATAATTGGCGCCCTCCTGACCAGTGGCGCGGCGCGTGGCGCGGCTGGCCGTCCGTCCGTCCGTCTGTCTGTCTGTCTGTCTGTCTGTCTGTCTGTCTGTCCTGTCTGTCTGTCCGTCTGCCTGCCTGCCTGTCTGTCTGTCTGTCTGTCTGTCTGTCTGTCTGTCTGCCAGTCTGTCTGTAGCGTGGTCCTGGAAGGTCCTAATGGAAAGGCTCGCCGTCCAGACCTGAGGTTAGGTTAGGCTAGCGATGGAACGGCGGTCACGGTGTCCTGTCATTCGCCGATGGACCCTTTTTGTACTGTGCGCAGCTCTGCGAGCGGCAAGAGGAGGCGACCGTCGGCATGCGCTTCTTCTTGGCGTCGGGCGTGGGTGTGAGGGCGCGGCCCGCCGCCAAGTGCTTCCGAACAATCAGTCCATCGCTCTGTCTCTCTCGCGTATATCAATGCGACAGAGACAGACAGAGGGTCGGAACGGCTCGGGCATGGGGCCGAGACCGTGCGGATGGAGATGGGCGTTTGGCTGCGTTTGGCCCACGCTAGCCAGAAGAAAAGCGCCGAGTGAGCGAGGCAGCGAAGTCCAAGAGGCGCCGCCGCAGCCAGCAGGGCCAGCACACAGTGGGCCAGAAGCCGGTGGAGGCGGCCAAAACTCCAGACGCGTTTTGAGCTCCAGAGTCGCTAAATGGGACTCGAACCGAACGTGTGACCCCACCAATGGATTGCTCTCCGAACGAGGAATCCATTGGTGGGGTCACACGTTCGGTTCGAGTCCTGTTCAGCGGCTCGGGAGCCCAAAACGCGTCCGGAGTTTTGGCCGCCTCCACCGGTCTTCTGGCCCACTGTGCAGCAGGGCCGTGGCCGCCGAGGCCGCCTGGCAGCTTAGGCAAAAAGTGGCCGCCGCCACTCGACTTGGGAGAGGCTGGACGCAGCACCGCCATGGCGCGCCATGTTACCGCAGCAGCGTGCCAGAACGGATGGGGAACGAAAAGCAGCGAGCCGTCGGCGTCCGCGCGCCGCCGGTCGCACAAAGAAAGGAACTAAGGAACCACCAAATAGGAGGGCAGCCAGCCAGCCAGCCAGCGAGCCGCGCCTCCGCTCCGCACGCTCCGCCCCGGACGACAGCCCCGACACACCGCGCCAGCACAGCCGCCAGCGTTGTCATGACAGCGTGTTCGTGTTTCTTTCGCGTTTTTTTGCCGGTTGGGAAATAAAGGATTGTGTGGCGAACTGGAGGAGGAGAGCGTCTGCTTTCCTCCTGTCACTCGATTCAGGACGCTGACAGACCATCGTCGTCGTCGTCCGAGTGACGGACGACGGACGGACGGCACACACACATACGCTTACTTACCACACGCACACGCTCCCGCGCGCCACCCGCATCACCGCGCGCAGGTCGCGAAGCTCAGCGCCTCCCCCTTCTCTGGCCCAACGGCCCCAACCCCCCAGCGCACCTTTCCGGCGAGTTTATTTCTAACGGAGCCCCCGCGCCCCAGCCAGGCCATCCAGGCCATCGCACCCTATCGCGAGTCCTGATTGGCTGTCGCGGCCGCTCCGTCGGCCAATGCGGTTCCAGAGGCCTTCCAGGCCGGCTGCCCCAGGGATATGCTCGCCCTGCTTTACGAGATGCGTTTGAGGACTTCCTGGAGAAGAGGGTGATTTTCTCGCGTGACACGCCAGGCGGACGCCATGGGGGCACCGCACCGCACCGCGCGGCACCAGGGATGTGGGCCATAGGACCGTAGAGCCGCGGGGGATAAGGGGGGATGAGTAAAGAAGGGATGAGATGAAGGAACCCGGAGGAGAGGTTGATCCAGCAGGCTGCTTTCGAAGTTTTCGTCGCAGCGCCTACGACGCGCGCCGCACGGGAGCGAGAGAAACGGAGCGACGAACGAGAGCACCGTTCGAAAGCGGCCCGGCCCGAGCGCGTGAGGTGTGTTGAAGTGCGCGGGGGCAAAAACGCGCGAGACAGCCGGAGCAGCAACAGCCGGACGGGACGGGAAAGGAGGAGTGCGGGTAAAATGGTGGTGAAAGAGGAAGAGCATAATGGAATGCGTAGGAGGAGAGAGAGACAAGTTCCATTGTGCCATGCAGCCATGAAACATTGTTGCTGGATTGTCAATAGGAGACGTACAATGGGGCGCCCCCTGATCCCTAGCAACGCAATCGCACTATTGATCTTGGCAGACACCCCGCCACGCCCCTCCCGCCCCTCCAGCCGCGCGCTACCGCCATACAAAGCGCATTTTCTGTAAACGAGCGTCCGCCTGTTTGCCTGCCTGCCTGCCGACCGAATTCAAATCGACAGCTTCGGGCGACAAAGTCGCGGAAACAGTCGGGGCGGCGGGCGGGTCGCGGACCGCAGTCGGGCACAGCACACGTGGAATCACCAAAAAGGTTAGGTTAGTTTCTTTCCGTGTTTTTGAACGCTCTGCAGGATATGCCGTCTGCATCAGCGAATCGGGAAGGCGACTTTCGACAACTTTCATTTCGAATCCCTCCCGTTAGTATTTCACTAAATTTTGATACATGTTTTCACTCGCCGCCCGGCTGACGTTTTGCACTGCGAGAAACTCGGGGCTGCTCTTGCTTTAGGCCAGCGTGACGTGGTCAGCTGGCGTAGGCGCGGTCACGGGGGACTCGGGGGAGGCCGGCACGACGGGCACGATGGCGGTGCCCGAGGACGCCGTCGGGTTGGAGGCCGTGGCGGCGGTCGCGGACGCGGCGGCGGTGGCGGTGGCCTGCGCGGTGGACGCCGAGTTGACGGTCTCGATCGGCTTGAGGGAGAGCTGGTAGGTGGTGAAGGTGCCGTTGGGGTTGGAAGCGACGACGACGCCGGCGCCTGCTGCAGTGCCCTGCAGCGGATACGGAACCAGTCCGCCGAAGCCGTTCCCGAAGCCGTTTCCGAAGCCGTTTCCGAAGCCGTTTCCAAAGCCGCCGCCGAAGCCGTTGCCGAAGCCATTCCCGAAGCCGCCGCCGAAGCCGAAGCCGCCACCGAAGCCGGGGAAGTAGGGGAAAGGCGCGACGGGCATCGGCGGGGGCGGAGGCGCCAGGCCGAGCAAGACCTTGGTCACGGGGTTCAGCGCCTTGGGGCTGAAAACGGGTAAAAGATAAGAGCCCAGTCAAGACTGACGGGGACTTCGACCCCGTCCGGCCGTCGCGCAGCCAGTAACACTTACTCCACCGCAATGAGGCCGTGCGCGTGGAGGTACGACTTGACGTGCTCGTCCAGGATCTCGACGGCCGGGCTCCCTGAAACAACGAACGTCAGGGGTAGGGTAACAGACACGAATGAAGATCGTCGACGGGGAGGTGCGTGGGGCCGTTCGGACTGGAACACCAAGAACAGCCCTCGCTGGCATCGCGGTTTTGCAACCCCAGCCCACCCTCAGCGCGAGGCCGCCCCGCGGGCCGCCCCGCCCCCCAAGCTCGCACCTGCGGCCCACAGTGGGCCAGAAGACCGGCGAAGGCGGCCAAAACTCTAGACGCGTTTTGAGCTCGAGAGTCGTGACATTGGACTCGAACCGAACGTGTGACCCCACCAATAGATTCCTCGTTCGGAGAGCAATCCATTGGTGGGGTCACTCGTTCTGTTCGAGCCCCATTCAGCGACTCTGGAGCTCAAAACGCGTCTAGAGTTTCGGCCGCCTCCACCGGTCTTCTGGCCCACTGTGCGGCGGCCTCGGCCTCGGCTTTACCGCACCCCGCCGCCGTAGGCCGTAACCGTGCGAGGCGAGTTGTGTGGATAGTTGCAGAGCCAATGGACGGGCGGCGCGGCGGCACGGCGGCGCAATCGACTGGAAGGCGGAGGGCCTCCGTCTCTCTCGCACCCCCGCGGGCCCGTGGCTCGCCCCACGAGTGCGAGAGAGACAGAGCGATCCGCTCTCCTCACTTACGACCGAAGTGATGCCGAGGCAGGGCGGAGCAGAGCGCTCAGGCGAGAGGGGCAGTATCCGCGCTCAGCCAATTATGCAACGCAGGCGAAACCCGCGCTTCATTTGGCGGGAAAAAAAAGAGGGGCCGGGGAATCGGCGCTCGCTGACACGCTGGAAGTGGAGGCCTCACCGTCGCGGAGCACTGTCGCCTGGGCCGCGATGGCCGCGGCGAGCAGCAGCAGGGGCAGCATGTTGGCGGTCATGGCGTCGGACCCGTCGGACACTGCACTGCGCGCGAGCGCACTCCGCTTTATAAGTGCGCCCGCGTCACGCGCCCCGAAGGCGGAGCGATACTGCACTGTGGGGTCGTCACTCCGAAACGCGACTGTCTCTCTCGCACGCCGACGCGACGGCCCATGAGTGCGAGAGAGACAGAGACTGTACGGAATGACACCGCTGTGCTTGCCGCTAATGGTCGCGATAGCTTCAGCGACCATCGGCCCGTTCGGCCCGGAGACTCCAGCGGCTCCGTCTTGACAGTGTCTTGACCGGTCTTGACAGTGTCTTGACGTGGACGTGGCTCAAGGGCTCTGCGTTCTGCATCGAATACATGGTGTGCCAACGGATTCCTCCTTCGAAGGGCAACCCATGAGTGCCGTCATTTGATTAGTTCCATTCTCTCTCGCACTCGTCCGACACGCCCCATGCTCCGGAATGGCTTCTCGGCAGGCCGACAATCCTTAGAATGACGACACAGTCCGACCTCGCTCGCCACCCCGGACCCTCCAAGACCAAGTCCAGGACCCTGGAGCCGCGGGGCCTTCCCTTTGCCCGCGTCTGCCCGCCTTTGGCTACGGTCCAGTTCAATGGCGAGGAAAACACCTTCAAGTGAAAGCTCTATGTAGTCGTCTGCTTTTATCGGGGTGCTCTCAGGTGGGTGAGTGCCCCCCTCCTCCTGCTCACTGGGCTGGACTGGAGGGGGTGGCTTCGAATTCAGCGACGGGCGTGTTCCAAATAGAAGAGGCTCTCGCGAAGGGTACCCAAACGTAAGTACTACTCAGCGGTGCGGACTGGCAGTGTCACGACGAAGAGCGCCGTCAGCTGCGGCAGGGTCGTCGCACCAAGGTGGCACCAAGACGGCCGGGCCGGCAGGGTGGTCTGGTGCAGCACTCCGCAGCCCCGCGGCGCTCGGACTTCCCCCTTCCCAGCTATTCCCGGGTTTACAGCGTCGGAGGGTGAGAAATTCCTCGGCACCTCTCTTCCTCTCTCGCACCGCGTCGTCCCGGCGATCCACCTTTGTACATTCCGCTCGGCCGGCAGGTAGGCGCCAACGGCACCGAAAAAAAGGGCGTCGGTTGTAAAGCGGACCAATTGACGGGGCATTTTTCGTCGAGCTCGCAGCAACTCGCAGCCGCCGCGTTTTACACCGGCCGGCGTTTTCTATCGTTTCTCCCTTTTTTGTTGCGGTTTTTCTTTTATTTGTGGCGGCCCTGGCGGCCCGCCCCGACGGGTAGGCCGGGCGCGGGGCGCCTTTACAGCGTGGTGGCGCCTTGCCGGCGCGGCCAGGTCGGCAGCCCTGGACCTCCCTGTCGCCGCACCGGCCTCTGGGCGCCGCTCCCCTGTGGAAGCCACGGAGAAGACCAGCCTCACACCCGTAATTGCATCATAATTACGCCATCATAAATAACGAGAGCGCGGTGGATGGCATGGACAGCCCAACGATAGCCCTACTTCGGCCTGGCCGCCACTATGTATTCAAAGCGAGGCGGCGCGGCGGCGGCCGAGGATTCCGAGCGGCCACGCTGGAGCAGCTCCCAATATTCCCCTCTAGATTCTCAGTGTACATTCACGGTCGCAGATTTTCAGTTGATTTTCCAACCTATCTGGAAGGCGTCAGCAGATTTTTGGCGCACGAGTGGACGAGGGTCAGGCGCGTCAGGCGCAAAAGCAGCGCAGCGGCCTTACTCGCGCGCGTGAGGTGAGCAGGGCCGCACGGCCCGGTGGGCTCTGGAATTATGGGAACAGTGCCCCGGTAATTGGAGTTGGGCTCATTCCTCGTTCCTTCGGAAGTGGATCGGCCAGTCTGGACGTCTGGCTCGGTCTGGAGGCTCCAGCGCCCTCAGCGCTCCAGTCTGTAAAGCCCGGTGGCGGTGCGGCCGGCGCGGCGGGCGTGGCCACCTCACCACACCTCCTTGGCTCCGGCGTTGCGGCTCGGCTGCTCCAGTGGCCGACACCCAAGAACAAGAAAGTTGGCCCCGGGCGACCCATACATACCCGACAACTAACCGGGGTACTCTCCTTTAGGCCTTTAGGACGGCCGGCTTCGCGCCGCGCGGCTCTCTGGTCGAGACGCCGCGAGCAGCTCCTACACCGTCTACCTCGGAACGCCCCGTGGGCACCTGCTGCTCATCACGGTGAAGGCAGAAAGAGGTTTCCTCTTATTTCCCAGGGCAGGAGGCAGATTGACGTTGCACGGCTCACCGCGTCTCCATCCAATCTCAGGGCAGGTCATCACCATCCTCCAAAACCAACTTGCACTTGGGACTTCCCTCATATGTCATTTAAAACACCTCTCTTTTCTTAACATTTAGAAAAAAATTGATTTGAAGTGTAATGCAATTGAGTCATAGGAACAAGGATTGAATAAGGACTGAAACACTATTTTCTGTCAAGCTTACACACTATTTTAAAAAAATTTATTATAAATAATCTTATTTACATATGAATCACAGTGCAGTATCAACAAACGAGTCTGTACGACACATAGCGTCCAGCAGTTTCTGATTTGCGAATTATCTTCACAACCTAAAGCATAAAAAAGAATCTTTAATTAATTTAACTGCGGTAAACATAATAATTTAGTAAAATTTGATCAAATTAAAAGGAAGTCGTACCTGTCCTCTCCTCAACCCGTAGTATTTGGCAACAGGATCAAACGCCTGCATGCGCATAAGCAAATTTTCATTTAACTTGCTGGATAAATGTTAAGGAATTTCTTACAGTAGCCATACTGTATATCACAAAGAAAGAAAAACGAGATAAAGGAAGCAGGAAAAGGATACTATTTTTCAAAAAGGTCTTCTTTTTCCTGTGGAGATAATACTATGTGCTTTGGAACAAGTTCATGATCCATAATGTTGACTAATAATTCTTTTTCCAGAAACACTTCCAAACTGTACGTTGGGTTGAAGTCTACAACAGCCTGAAATGGAATAAGTTCAGTCATTTTAGCTCAGAGTTTTCTTGTCAGTTTTCTCTACATAAGCTACAAGGATTACCTTTTTAGCAACTGGAGTCAATGTATCTTGAACAATAAGTAATGCTTTCCCAACTTGCTCCTTCTGCATCTCCTGAACGTAACCAACAATGTTCGGCTTCCTCAGAACTTTTTCCTCAGAAAAAAATACAAATAGCTTCTCTAGAATAGGATAAAGTGAAAACATAAAAACGGGTTAACTAATTATCTTGTTTTCCATAATGTCTGAAGTGCAATCTACACAAAAACATAATTTTTCATGTGAATTACCGTCAGTGGTAGAGTGGGTGAACAACATCCTGAGTTTATTACGTAGGGGTTGGTCAGCGACAGACCTGAAATAGAAGACTACATGAATGTACTGAACTAGTTCCTACAGCATTGAAGTGACAAAGTTGGAAAGTATACAGTACCGGTTAAGCTTGTACATTTCTTTGAATTCATCCAAAGTTTCATCCAGCTCATCTTGAGTAACCAAGTACCCTCGATCATGACAGAGCTGAATCCAGACAGAGAGAAGCATGAATCCAAAACGTACAATGTTTATGCTGCTTATTTTCTTTTATACAAAAATAGAATAAAATGTAGGACCAGAATATTATAGAATAGGGATAGCCTTGAGAGCATGATTTTGATTAGGTTATGAAAGTTAGTGTTCTGTATATTGTATACAATTCTAAATGACGAGAAAGCAGAATATTAATCTGATCTTACCTGCATGATAGTTTTCTTCACTCTCCATAGCTGTTTGATTTCCAAACCACTGCTCATTTTCTCAGAATAAGGATTTTCCCGAACCTTGAGCGGAACACGTGAACGTGAACGCAATGTTTTGATTTTGATCCCGTTGAAGTTGTTGGGTTGGTAGCACGAAACACGGGATGAGAAATTTAGTGTGCGTGAAGCTGCCCTAGTGGCTCTTGAGGCATGGAGTATATCCGAGTATAGCTCCTTACTCCTTGTTAGTTAGTTGTTGTTGTAGTAGTAATACTTGGCATTCTCGGGCAAGGCCTCCAGTTCGTTGTTGAAACTGTCCCTCTGAGCCCACATTTCTCACATATCGATCGTGCCAGGACTTTTCTGGAAGGCTAAAATTTTGACTGTTGTTCCAATTTGAATTTGGGTGGGAACTATGCAGAAAAATAAGACAAAGAACTGTAGGATTTTCTTTTATTATTATTAGGCTATTTACACATTGCACAATATTTTTTTACGATTCACAAGGATTTCAATTGAGAAACTTGTCAGCTTTGAAGTCTGTAGAGCATGATATGGCCAACTGCTACAGAGGAGCAAAAAAATTATTTACACACAGCACAATCCTTTCTTCTTTGCTCAAAATCCATTAAAGACTCAACAGTTTCAAGACTGTCAGCACACAAGTCTGTAAGAGATGTATCGACCAGCTGTTTCAGAAGACCGAATAATTTTAACAACCTGCAACAATAAATAAGTAATCTTAGTCTGACTGAAAAAACAAAAGTCCTCATAAACTGGAAAAAAAAAAGAATGAAAACTGATCAAACAGAAAACAAAAAAGCAGGAAGCTATTTAATATTGACACATGGTTCATCCAAAACTAAAATTAGGTTTTGTTTCCTTTTTTTTTCTTTTACATTTCATCTGACTTTTCCCAGGAGGACTCAGCCCTGTTTTTTGGTCAGTTCACATGCTTACGCAAAAAATACTTTTGCCCAGAAAATTTCCATCATAACTTTCATTGTAGAAAACTTGAAGCAGTAGTGAGAAAGTGTTTTAATTTAAACTGCACATCACACTGTTATTCAGAGATTTTAGAGAAGCACATAATGCTACAAGGGATGCTACCACAGTTTACCATTACCTGGCCTCTTCTCAAACCGTAGTAGCGACATATAGGATCACCAGTCTGGATACGGGGTAAATTGTTCTCTTTCAGTTTGCTACATTACATTAAGGAAAATTGATTTGAGCCTCCAGTAATGTGATACACAAGATGAAATAAGATAACTGTGGTACAGGTACCATAAAAAGTGAAACCACAAATATCAAAGTCCCACCTTTACTTAAATTATCTTTTAAAAACGCAAATACTGCAAATTTTCCCTAGATGTGTCCATACCCTGCCCAGATAAGTAGAATGCATTCTTGAAACCCATAAAATTTGATAAACATGGGTTTCAACATGTGTAAATACCCAAGTCACACCACCTAGTGGGAACAAAACACAGTCAAATGAAGAGTGTATGCAGTCCTCCTGAAACTCTGTTGCCAACCAAAGGAGTATGGCACATCCGTGCGTTGGACTGCATGTACACCAAATTAGTTTGGTGTGGTATCAAAATAAGACAAAGAAGCAAAGCAAGCTATACAATGAATGTTTTTAAAAATAAGATGGTTCTGCTAAAACTTTAAGGAAATTTTATTCTTACCTGTCCTCTCTTTAAACCATAATATCTTGCAACTGGGTCACCAGCTTGGATACGCATTAACATATTTTCCTTAAGTTTGCTAAAAAATGTGTGTTAAGGAAGCAACAGCAGTAATTAAAAGCATAAAACATCAATCAACACAAGGTTAGTAAATTGGAGTCAATAGTATTCTAGAAAGAGCAACCATTAGATAAAATGAAAACAACAAAATTAGGATAATGCAGAATTATCCTGTAACACAGGGGCCTTTTCAAAGGATACTATCTAGCTAATAGCTCTGATTTTTCTTCGGGTGTCATAACAACATGTTCTGGAACAAGCTCATGCTCTGTAATATTAATAAGCAGCTCAGATTCTAAGAATTGTTCCAGAATGTATTTTGGGGCCATGTCTACCAGAGACTGAAACAAATAATATGAATTATGGCAGATACAATTTGGAATCAAATATTATAATTTAGAATCAAATATTATCGACGATTTCAAGTTCAAAAAAATCACCTGTTTGGCTGAAGGTGTCATGCCCTGCTGAACCACAATCATTGCCCTGTGAATATTTTCTTCTTGCATACGTTGACAGTAGGTTTTGATAGTTTTAATTCCTATTTTGGGTTCTTCAGGGAAGAAAACAAACATTTGGTCTGCAACAATCAGTTGTACATTAATAAGCAACGTTAAAATTGGCCCATTTATTTCAAATGGTAATGGATGAGCTATAATTACGAGTTAATCGATACCTGTAGGATCATCGTTGTGAGCGACAAGAACAATCAGATCAGCCCGAGACGGTTTCCTCTCACTAAGAATGAAAAGCAACACTGGTAATCATACGCCCTACAGTATGTTGATGACAATACCGTTATTACCTGTTACCACACCTAAAATTTACCTGGGTTTATCACCATACTGCTCTTTAAACTGCTCCAATGTTTGGTCAAGTTCATCTTGAGTTACCAAGTATCCACGGTCGTGGCAGAGCTGGAGGAATACAAGATTGTAAGGTCTAGTGTCTGATTACTGACTAGATATTAGAATAACCTATTCATTCAACATTCTAAAACAAGTAATCCACTAAGAGCGGGAAAGTTTTGAAAGATATCAAATCAAAACATAGGAAAGAGGTTAGAAAATTCAAACCGGTATATTTTAAATAAAACTTGGAGAGGTTCGTACCTGCATAACAGTTTTCTTCACGCGCCAGAGTTTGTAGCATTCCGCCTCGTCATCCATTACGCTTTGATACTTCGGTAAATCAGACGCTGAATGAAAATATAAAGGGAAAAGCTAAAAGTGTCTACAGCTTCAAACAAGGTGCCAGAGTTAGTGCCAATAATGGCCACCAGCCAGCACGTAGTTCCAATGGGGACACACAGATGGCGCTAGTAGGCTTGTAGGTTGGGTGTGTGCAGCAGACAGCAGACAGCCTGACGTTGGTGGTTCGACAGACAGTGTCAGCAGAGCCATTAAAGTTGTTCTGCTGCCACCTATCATTTTTTGCTCGAAAAGATTAAATAGGGAAACCAAAGAGACTGTCATCGTTCTGTGATACCTGGACGCTGCGCGTCTGCCTTGGAGTATCAAAAGGGCACAGGCAATAACCTCTGCAGTGCCAATATGCTGTTGAATGAATGAAAGCAACAGTGCAGCTTCTTGGTGCTGTCACTCTATACTACTCCACGGTCAGGGTCAAAGTGCGGCCACAATCGTGAATGATTCATCAGTATTTGAGCGGCACGAGGTGAGTCGCGAGCAGCTGAGTCTTAGTAGTGGTTTCCCACGCTTGCCCTAAGCACATCAAGAGTGAGTTGTGTAGATTTTCTCTTGCCCCAGTCATCAATCAATTGTGATCGGATGTCACATTCTTCATCTTCTACTGTCAAATTTTGTTTTAAATTGTTGCACGCGTGAAAAACAATCTTCTTTTCAAAATTATTTAATATTGTTACAAGTGTAGAATGTACAATGTTTTGGACACATTTTTTCATGTACATGTATTGATTAAGTGCAGGCTCAATACGCTTATGCATATTTGTTCCAAAACTGTGCACTAAGTTCCTTTGGCTTTGTGGTTTTCAGTGACGATGGGTCAGAGCAGCAGTGTGCCGCTGGGCGGAAGGAATAAATCTTTCCGCAGCAGCTGGCGGTCACCTTTTCCCCATCGCAATCGGGCTTGCAAAGGAAATCTCTCTGCAACATTCAACGTCTTAGATGTTGACACTAAGGTTTGTTCCATCTCTTGCGAGTTTAGACTGTATCTGGATGCCTACATTTAAAATGTAGTTCTAGCTAAGTGTTTGTAATAATGAAATTTGTGTTTTCCCCTAGATTGACCAATTGAATGTAAATTTGGCAAGTGAAGAAGAACTTATGACACTTCCTGATATTTCCCGTGCTGATGCTCACAATATTGTTGAATACAGACAGCGGCTGGGTCGCTTTAAGAAAGTTGAAGACCTAGCTCTTGTATCAGGAATTGGTGCGGATAAACTAGCTCTCATCAGACCAGAAATATGTGTAGCACCTAGACGTTCTCCTAGGTATTTTTTCAATCATTTCTTCACTTGAAAAGGTGTTGATTTACATTGATCATACTTTCTTCAAGGTTAACTTTCAAATCTTTTCAGCTGTGCCTCTTCAAGAGCTCAATCTACAGACAGCATTCATAGTGTGGATTCAAAGCCACTACCCCGACCAGTGCCTCTTCTGAATATCAATACAGCTACTGTCTTTGAGCTACAAGCTATACCAGGGTTTACCCAAGAAATAGCTGCAAACGTGATTGACTATAGAGATACCCATGGAAATTTTTCCACGTTAGATCACCTTACCAAAGTCAGCATCTATATTTCAAATGTTCTTAATTCTGCTTAATTCTTTTAATGAATAAACTATATCTGAAAATTTCAGGTTAAGGGTATTAATCACATCAGATTAGGAGCTGTTCGAGCAAGACTTACAGCTTGCTCAGAGAATGCGGCTGTACCAGTCCGCAATGGCTATGCATCCAGCTTCAATGTGGTTCATGGAACACCTAAAAGTTCACCAAAGCTGACAGCTAGCCATTCTTCTCAGCCAATTGCCAATGGAAAAATTTCAGGTACATACAACGTGTGTTGATTTTATTCTGGACTTTATGTGGGATTTAAACTATGAGTGAATCTTTTGAAATTTTATGATTTTCAGGTCATCGCAAAACCATGTCAGTTCCTGTCAAATTAGGACCAACAAGTAATGGTTTGGCTGTCCGTGACATTTTGGATGTGCTCTCTGCATGCTCGCCAAGGCCCATTGTTGAGGACCATTTTGACGGAAAAAGAAAAGGCAGACCTGCAATTAGAATGGCTACATGGAACCTTAGTGGGTTGTCCCTCGAAAAGGCAGAGAATCCTGGTGTCAAAGAGGTCATCTGCCGAACTATATTGGAGAATAGGTACCCTAATACCACTATCATATTTTATTTTTTTCTAAAATGTAGAATTAATGTAAGAAATAAATTTGGTGGTTCAGGTTCAGGTATAGGTAGAAAAGACTATTCCTCTTTGCCTGCAGTCTGCTCAGATTTCTCTAAATTGAATCCACACTTGTTATCTCTGTTATCTGGGAACAGTAGTTGACAATTGTCAAGATGGTGGTAGGGTGCTATCACTGTGTCTGAATGATAAGAAACAGGTGTTCTTCACTTCTTGTTGCTGTTGGAATCACAAAGTATGGCTTGCAGTGCATAGAGCGTGTACATAGCTTATACTGATCTGAGATTTTATCTGCTCAGTTAATATGAGTGAACATACCTTTGCCTTTCTCTCATATTTAGAGAAATATGAAGTATCTTGAGCCAGTCATTCACTTAACTGGTATAAAAAGAGACTATGCGTGCAAATAAATTCCTGCTCTAAACTTCTTTTTGTATTTCCTTTATTCATAGGTTTTCTCTGGTGGCACTGCAAGATGTTCTCCGGGTTGAAGCTCTTGAAAAGGTACTTAGCTGTGTACCTGCTGACATTGAGAATGCTGAAGCACTTCCAATTTTTCTCTTGATAAATTTTATCTTATCTAATCTTATCTCATCTTTCAATTTAGATTTGCAATGAGTTAAATTTTCCTTGTCTGAGGCGGATCAAAGATTGGAAAGAAAATTCACGCAGATGGCACCATCAGGTATGTCATTGGTAGTACTAATCAGGTTTCGCACTTGTTCTTTGTTCTTAGAATAATTTCTTGTTTTTTCTTTGTTTGTCTCAGAGCTGTAAAGGTCTTGGATTTCTGTGGGATGCAAATGATGGAGTAGCACTATCTGCAATTAACATGATAAAGCTTCTGGATTCTGATGACTTAGAAGTTCTTCATGCTGATTTTATGGTATTGCTTTTATTAAAGATAGTACCAATGAATTTTTTACTCTCAAATCAGTATCCAAATTTGGCAATCATAAATTCTCTTTATCCTTTTGTAGGTTGGGAATCATCGAATCTCTTTGGTAAATATTCATTTCCAGGAGCCGATCTCAAATGAAAGTCAAAATGAAATTCTTTCAGCTGTTCAAAAGCAACTAACTAAAGACCAAAATGACAAGCAAATAATTGTTGGTGACTTTTCATTCCCCCTTAAAAACACTGAAGGTTTGTTCTATTGTCTTTGATTTGGTAATTGTGTAATACCTACCAAGTGTAATTTTCTCATAATCTTTGACCTTCTAGACTGTGCATTATCGGTTGAATTTGATGCTGTTCTGCCACCAAGTGTCGTCACCAACAGTATTGCACTTAACCATCACAGTGGTGAAAATCCTTTTAATGATAACATATATTTGAATAAAACAATCCAAAAACAATTTACAGGTAAGTTAATTTAATTATTTCCACAATCTGGCCAAGAGTTGAAAATATTAAGCATTAACTTGACATTGCAGATATGAGTGGCGTGGTCCGTCAAGGTCTTACACATCTTGCTATTCCATATAGTTGGTCATGGGGTGGCCCAGCAAGTGAACATTGTCCAGTCTGGTGTGAACTGTATGTCGAGAAGATGCCTTTATCAACTAGCCCAACAAAACAAGGGTAAAATGCTTCTCTAGAGGAAAGATTAAAAAAATAAAAAAATAGAATTTTTATGTGGAACCAACATGAAATGTATTTTTGAGTCGAATGAACTGTTTCAATAACTTATTGTGTTGTTGTTCAAACATCATAAATAAATTTAATTCTATGTTAAAATATTTATTCTTAATGTGACTGTAACTTTTTAATTTTAACCAGACAAATTATTTTGTACTTGAATCTTACTATTAAATTCCACAATGCTGTGATCTTCAGTGCGTTTTGGCTCCTTATCAGAGCCCCTGGAAAACACATGTCACTCGTGTGTTCATCTAATTCCTTGCTTTGTACCTTTGTAAGTGCTCACTGATGTAATGTTAATATGAATAGTGATCATTTACCTTGTATTTAAGAATGCAATCAGGCATTGCAATTATTTTACGTTGTACTTTTTCATTGTATGTGATAAGTGTTGCCTAATATGAATATGTATAATGAGCTGAAAGCATTGCCTTTAATTTGCTGGCTTTAGTTGTACCTACACAGCAAAGGGCTCACAGTTCTTGATTCATACCTTCTAGCATATCTAATGTCACTAGGTACATTATTATTTACTATGACAGGTGATTCTCAGGCACTTTATTTGATTTTCTGTTATCAATTTCACCTTTTGCTCAATTCTCCAACCTCTCAACGATTTCAATGAGGGCTTTTTATTTTTAAGGGCTAGCAGCTATGTACTGTGAACGTAATAGTTAGTCATTTTATGTCAAATGTACTTTGTGAAAAATACTTTTTGTTATAATTTCATGTTATTGTTTTTGTTTACATTTCTTAGAGTTTAGCGACAACCATTCAATAGATTAGATCAAGTGCATATTCTGCCACTGTATTTCATTCATTGTTTTTCTATGACCATGTTGGTCAAAATTACTGCATAAAATTCATATCATTCACTAGCAAATGAATTTCATGTTATGTTTGCTTATGAATTTAGTTAACTATGTCTTCCCTGCATTGAAAATCAAAATGCATTAATTTGTCAATGCAGAACTGCATGGAAATATTTTCTTGCTGATAAATTTAACATGATAAACTTTGTTTTGAGGTGGTTTGGTGTTTGAAAGTTAATCAACACGCATGTTTAATGATTGTGCTCAATCTCAAATTATCAAGAACGCAGTACATTTAAAAACAAAACCAATGTTTTGTGTAAGTCTCTTCAGTTACCACAGACCTTGTCTCTAAGTCATAAAAGATTAACTTAGATACATAGATTAAAGGGCAATACACTTCAATGTATTTCTGTTAATTTAAAACCTTGTGACCCAGAAGATACCTTGTTGCAATCAAAGTTTGCTTTTCAAGATCTTTCTGTAGGATGTGACATTAGATCAACTGTGTGTTTGTGATGTCTAAGTGTCCTTCTCATGGAGCTGAATCTTCCTCACAAAGAAGTTCAACTCTGTCAAACCACATCCTGTTTCTTCTACAATAAACAAAAATGTAATTGGCGTGCGTACTAACTACACAGTCAAGCTCTGAGCCAGGAAATGAATCACCGCAAAGAAAGCTCAATAAACCACAGAGTGGAGTGAAATAACAATTGAGATTTTCAGCTTGGCACTATAGGATTACACAACTTCAACAGAATGAAAGTTACTCATTTAAAAAGATTTAATACAATAAATTACAACTCGTATTGTTGTTCAATTCTGATTGATGGTTTGAGAAAGAGACATTGAGAGAGGCTTCAAAATAATAAGCACATGCTAACATGCGCTTTAAGGAAAAAAAAAAACAACAGAAATCACATTTTAAACTTTTAAATACATAGTTGTTCTTAAATGCCACCTCTTAGAGCCAAAACAAGATGCAGTACTGATCCTCCTTGGACTTTATAATCTTGTGCAGTCTTGTCGTCATTCCTGCAAAGCAATAAAATACAAAAATAATTTAATAGATTAGATCATTGATTGCATGAACTGTTTGATGCTAGAATTGATACTCACATTTGCTTTCCAGAGAAAATAAGTCGCTGTTGTTGGGGTGGAATTCCTTCCTTCTCTTCAACTCGTTCCTTGATTCGCTCCACTTTATCGGTAGGTTCAATATCAATTTCAATCTGCACAGAAAAAGTCAACATGTAGGAACAGAAATAACCGGGAAATAACAGAAAGTTTAGGAAATTTCATGAAGATACGAGGAAACACTCTGAAAACTTACCTCCTTCCCTGTCAGTGTCTGAATACAGCATCATGCAAACAAAACAAAGGTAAAGGGAAAATGAATTAGACAAATGTAAACAGTTGACTATTTCTGACCAAGAATGAAATGTTACAGAGCACATAGCACAATGAACAGAGGGGTTGTTGACAGGTTAGATATTGAAGATGCTTCAAAACGAGAACTTAAATAAGAAAGTTAGCCTAGCTTAAAAAATTCGTCAGAAAATTTTAAGAACTACTCATTTTTTTCCACATTATGCAAAACGAAAAATACTTTTGGCGAAAAGTATTATGAACGATGAATGACTAGCCTACCGGTGGCTACCTGACAGATCAATGGTATTGCACTCACCTTGACCTTGATAAGCATTTTGAATACTTGTAATTAAAAGACGGTATACGGTAGAAAGCGTCAAATATGTCTCTCGACAAGTAGACAGTAGAAAAGTCCTCAATCAAATGTCTCAACGATCCTCCTTAACCTCAAAACTCAACAAACACAAAAGGCAAAACCCCCACTCGCGCCGACAGGGTGCTTTCCAGCAGCGCCACGGCTCACTTCTGACCCAATGTGACCAAAGGGTGGTACTCCCCCTCCCCCTCCCCTCCCTGATCTTCCCTCCGACAGAACGTGTGCGAAAATCAAAGCAAATGAAATTGCGGTGTCTAAGATGTGCAATTAAAGTTTATTCTGCTTCACATCGGCGTCTTAGGGGTACAGGGAGAGGCTTGTGTCTGCGATTCGACGATTGAGGAAGAGCCGGCCCAATTTCGCAAAATTATTTTAGCCGAATCGGGCTGAAGCAACTGAAGCCCGCTTTCCTACTACAGGATTGATCGAGATTGATTCAAATCACGAACGTCACGAAGCCGTCCGCTTCAAAGTACACTGCTGGACCAGACCGCAGCGTTGCTACCGTCTGGTGGGACGGCACACGACGGGCGTGGGTGGTGTCGTGGTGTACTTCCCTTCCACCATGCACCTGCATGCACGAACCATAGCACGAACCACCAAGGGGGGTGGATGGGTGGGTTCGTGGAACAGGTTGTTGCATCCAGCGATACTCGGTCATCCAGACGGCTGCTCAGCTCACGCTGCCGTTTGTGTGCGCGCGCGGTCTGGCAAGCTTGCGGCCTACCTGGCAGGCGATCCCTTTATCACCGCCTCTCCGCCTACAGTCCATTCCACGCAACGGCGTCCCCTGCGGCGTTCTTTGGGTGGAGGGTAATCCGATTCCCGGGATCGGAAATCCCCGACAAAAGGCTCAGGAATCAGAGAGTCGTGGCTCTGGTTCTGGGCGAGCATTCGTCGCTCTGTCTCTATCGCACTCATCAGGATCTCCGTAAGGGTGCGACAGAGACAGAGAGAAGAACCACGCTGGATTCCACAACGGAGGAGTGCTACGCGCCACTTTTTCTGATCAGCGCTTTGCAGTGTGATTACGAATCCTAGAAAAACCTTGCACTGCTCTTGGACGTGTACGATAGGAGATAGTGGGTTGCCTCGGAGCTTGTTGCCAACTAGTGCTTGACCATGACCGTGCCATGTGCTTCCGTCCTGCGAGGCACGAGCCGCCTCGAGTGGCTAGCCTGTTTAAGTCCCCGAACGGCACTTTTTTCGAGAACTTTAGGGTAGAGTGGGCTGTTGCGCGTCATCCATGTAGCAGTGTACTGCTACACAATGTTTGCTGCTGTTGAGCTAGGAGTGTTTCTGTCGCACCCACACCCACGCGGTCCGTTCCCGTTCCCACGGCATTCGCCCAAGAGGGCCTTGGCAGGTGGCTCACTAGGTGGCCCCCGGCACGCCGCCGCAAGCTTCCGGGCCATTGGCAATCAATCGATATTTCTATCATTTTTCCCCCCCTCCTCCACCTAACTGCTTCAAAAGTGGCAAAGGCTAAAGTAAGAGTAGACGCAATCACAAGAATAGGTTTTATTTTGTTGATAGATAATTAATAACAGCTTCTAGATAAAATACATATACAAATGTATAAAGTACACAGGTATACAATCTAAAATTCCATGAGCTAGATTACATCTTTTATGTACAGGCCAGGTGTGTCCTGGTCACAAATTAAACTGGGGTCACTATAATTTTCTTTTGTTGCACTAAATGGTTTTAATGACAAATAATAAAGGATATTGGAAATCAGGAATCCACTGATATGGCATCACAGAAATACAAGATACAAATTCATTCAAAGGCAATGCATTACACTAAGATTCTTTTCAAAACTTCTATGAGGGATTGCGGGTACCCTTGGGATCACGGAAACACATCAACTGAAGTCTCATCCTTGATCTGAAGTGGTTCAAGACGGTTTCCACATTCCTGCAATAGAAAAGCAACATTTAAAAAAATCACATCAAAATCCTTAGCTTACAGTTCCATTTGCCATTCACAAGTCAAAATAAATAATATGCCAATAGTTAAGCTATATGAGAGTCTGCTGTTCCACTGATCTTTGAATGTCTAAGACTTGATATAATGATTTTCAAGTAGTTGTACTTACTTTTTACCCTGAGTATCGCTCAACCGGGGCACAGCTTCCAGAGCCTCATCAAAAAAGGCCCTAAAGATAAGAAGAGTTTTAGAGAACAAAAGGAAGGGTCTGATAGGTCAAATGAGAGTGGGTAGATAAGGTGGCACTTACTCTGCTGTAGGGGTAGAGTAAACTTGTACAGCTTCTCGGATGGCTGCAATATCTGCACAAGCTTGCTCTGTTCCATGTACATTGAATTTTCTGTCCAAGCAAACCATGAGTCTGGCCAGTTCTTCTGCTACAGTTTCTACCAACTGTGGAAGAACCCTCCAGACCAGACCAGGAGATATACTGTGCACCTACAAAATCAAAATGGAAAAAAATAAATTAAAAAACTGGATTTTTTGCAGAGAAGAAAGGAGACATAGGGACACAAACCTCTGAATGAACACTTATAAGATTAGTCAAAAGTTCTTTCACATATGGCCTCACATCTGCTGGTTTCACGGCAGTATCCCAATTAAAATTGCCAATGTACATAGAGGGCTCAATTGTGCCCACTAATGGGTCCGAGCGTTGCTCTAAGTACGCATCCAACACCCTCTGATCAAGCTCAGCCAGAGCCTTATTGACAGCTGCCAAAGGCCCTGTCTGAGCAGGGAGTTGATAGCGAGCAAACAAATCAGCAATTCGAGGCAAGAGCACACATTTTGTGTACTCAATATTACTTAACACACTCAACAACCGTTGCTCCCAAGCCTGCAAAACAAAATTAAAATATAAAAGAATGCTCTGACAAAGAGTCTGATGGATTTATCTTCAAGGTTTGAAGAAACCACTCACCGGGCCAGTTTCTTTATCTTTGTTCCGCCCTTTATCCATGACAGAATCAGAGCCCCTAAATATAGAAGGTGAACCTATCATCTGAGATGCTCCCAGAGAATCACCAGCCATGGCATCACTACCTAATGCCAATTTATCAAGAACCTGCAAAATGGATGGAATAGGATAAGAAAGGGCACACACAATTGTGTCCTAAAATTTCATGTGAACCAATTTGTTGTTACCTCAACAAAACCCAACAGCATATTGAGTATTAAGTTGTTCAAGTCCCTTTGGACAACATTGGATTCAAGGAGGGGAGTTTCCCTCAGGTCAGCTAATAAAACAGAATCTTTGGCAAGTTGTAAAGCTTCTGCAACTACTCTCTCACACTCTGCAGGCTGTGAAAAATAATGAGAAAACCATTCCATAAGCAAAACTGAGGTGCAGAAACTCTAAGCCTCAAATCAAAAACTTATACAGTACTCACCAGATGTGTAATACCACCATGTTCTCCATCAAATTGAATGTTCCATGACTCTTGAGTATGAAGATTACGAATTGATTCTCCAGCTTGTTTCATAAGAGTGCTCATGCAGTGTACCCTGGAAACAAATTCAATGGAAAACGCATTAATATATAAAAATTAAGTAATGGGTATCAATGCAAAAAAAAATACCATCACTTACCTGAGGTCAAATATCAGACTAGCAACTATGTCAAGTACTTCACTTGGTAAATCCAACCGGATAAGTGAGGAGTACCCCTGACGAAGAGCTCTTAGACAATGTGGCAGCCATGGACCCAGGCCTTCCATTCCTCGAGAATGCCAAACACCATAGCTTGCTCTTTCAGCTGCTGGAGTCTTTACTAAGGTGTGAGGCATGAGAGCAGCTCGCAGGAGTCCAGAGAACAAGGAAATTCCCGCCAGCACCAGTTTCTACAGGTTGACAATCAAACACACTGAATAATCTGCAATCTCGTAAAAAATGACAAGGAAAAATAAACAAAAACATTACCTTGAAATCCTGCTGCCGGCCAGGAACTACCTTGACTTGAAGCTCTCCAGTAAAGTAAGCCTGCCCAAGTTTCCAGAAATCTGGAAACCGCTCTGATATTGTATCTGCTAGTTCTTCAGTAAGCAACACTCTAGCAGGTACACTGGCCTAGGGTTTTAGAAACATAGTCAAAGTAACAAGACCACAATTGTAATTTTGTTTCCATATTTTTTTAAACATACCTGCCAATCAGTATTTTGATTCGATGAACTTGCACCTTTGCTCTTGCTGCTTTTAGGTGTTTTGCCTGAATAACAAAAACATATTAGAGCAATGTTTGTATTTATAAAGCAACATGTTTTAAAAAAATGTACAACTGACTGACCTCCTTCTTCCAAAGCAGTTTGTTCTTGGGTGAGATGAGTATCCCTGCACTGTATCATGGTTGCTGCAAGATGACGGGAATGGCAAGAAATAGCATCCCATGCAGGGTCTCCACCAACCTCCAAATTGACTAAGTTCCTGAAAAATTGGTTCATTTTCTGTTAACAAACAGCTCCATAAATTCACATAAATGAAGATCTACTGTGGTTTCAATGTAGGATTGGAACTACCGAATGAGCTTTTTCTGTGCCTCCAGTGTAGTTGGTGCATCCTCAAGTCGATGGTGAAGAAGCTCTCGTAATTGAGCAATTCTTGATTCTACCTCAGCAAGGACTTTTTTAAATACCTAAAAAACGGGCCTTTTTAAAGCACTGTTCAACATTCTTTCCAATACACATCAAGTTTGAGACTTACAGGCACTTCAGTATTTCCAAACAAATTCATTACTCGGGCATAGTCATTAATGACTGCATCATAGTCTCCCTTTTTGATATTCTTTTCAATTGCACCAGGAAGACCAAATAGGAAGCGGAATCGTTGGAGAACTGCTAACGCACTACGAGTTGCATCGGCACGTTCACGCCGAGAAAGGACGTCTTCAAATAGTTTATTAGCTTCAAGCATGGACTCTACAAGAGATGGGGAAAATAGAATAAAGGTCAAGTACAAAAGAAAGTATTCAATGTCTGGTAGCAAAATTTAAAAACTCATTACCTTTGATAGCAGCTTCCAGTCGAATGGTGGGGTCTTGACCCTGCTTCTCTACATCCTCTTCAAATCTTTCTTTCAGATGGGCCAAAGTATCTAACTGTTCCATTACTGATCCAACATTAGACTGCAAAGTAAAGCCAAAGTTCAAGTATATTCTGTGTATTTAAAATTATACTTCAGAAACTACAAAATATTTTTGGCACCTGACCTTAATGAATGAGAGCTGTCCTTCTTTCTGGCCATCGACTTTCCGCCTGAGAAAGGCAAGTCCAGCACGTAGGTCATCAAATGGAGTGGCATGATGTCTCTCAAGAAGAAACCAGCCAGCTGCAAAATTTTCAGAGGATAGATCGCCAGACCCTCCAGGAAATAGCTTATGCAGACCATCTTCGGGAAACTTTTGCCTAGAAAGAAAAATATATTGCAGTGAATGAGTGACCCCTTCTTGCACATTATTAGAAGTTAAAGGTGAGGCACACTTACTCAACACCCTCAATAGAAATGCCAAGAGGATCGTCATGTTGGTATGTTGTGGGCGTTAGACCTCTCCGGCCCCACCACATCTTGCGCAGTGGTGCCTCTTCAACCCACACAGCACTCTCCTTCATTGGACCTATCATCTCATGATACCCCCGAAATTCAACAGTCGATGTTCCTCGCCCACCAGACCGAGTTGTCACAAGAATTTCTCCTTTTCCTTTGCCTGGACCTGACCTGGCGATAATTTTGTTGGGAGACTTCCATTCTGCTGAGAGGAGGCAGTCACATCCGCATATTGTAAGGCCTGACAACAAGAACAGAATGACCATTGTAATTTCAGATCATCCAATCAAACATGTTGAGAAAAAATAAGTTAAGACATTTTTGACAGGTAGCAAACAACATAACCTTCGAAAACCTACTTAGGAGGTAAAATATCGACAGCTGAGCCAATCTAAGCCTTACCACTTAAATCCGAGGCAGTTTTGCCCAGGAACTCTCCACGGACAGTGACTCGAGTTCCAGGAGGTCCTTCTTTCGGCGACACGCCAGTGACAATTGGAGGAGGACCCATTTTAACCTTATTTTCGCCCCTTCACAGGGGAAGACCGCAGAAATGGGTTAACAGGTCCAAGCCAAGTGAAGAAGCATATCTGCTCGATAGACCATATCTATCGTCGTTGATCACCGCAGCCAAACATTTTCTCAGTTGAGAAAATCACTGCACAAATACACATACAAATATCAACTGTGCGCTGTGCGCGGATGACAGCAGCCTCCTACTCCACCACCAACACAAGTACGTCATTGAGTTATGAGAAATTCTGTCAGCATGTATGAGAAACTCAGCGAGCGCGAATACACCCCCTCCTGTCAATACCCCTCGCTCCAGATGAGTGCTGCCGTTGCACGCTAGGTGGCGTCTGTGTTGTTGGGCTCGACTCCAACGACACCACCACCGCCTCCACAGTCCCTTCTCTTCGGTTCCAGTATCGGTAAACAGGCTTGTTGCTAAAATGAAAACCACCCTCTCCCTCACCCTCCCTGCCTCCATCCAGGGCGATCTTTCCTGCTCCGCCCCGTTGCGATTGTGTCCCTGTAGTAACTGCTCTAGCCGCACGGCTCCGTTATAGCTGCCATCGCATCCAATATCAGGTGCATGTTCCCGTAATATTATTCTGGCCCGGAGCCGACTGCGGCTCGCTAGTGTGACGACTGAGTGTGCACGTGCACGAAGGGATGCTGCAAGTAGCTGCGTTACCGAACCGATAGGAACGTTTGATTGGTTCCTGTACATTGTGTTCCAAGAATTACAATCTTCACCGCGGGCTGCGCTGTCCAGAGTCCACGGCAGCTTCATCGTCACAGCAAGGGGCGAAGGCGCCTGGCAAGGCAGGAGCCAAAGCTGGCTTGAGGAAGGTTAGGTTAGGTTAGGGCAGAAAAAGCGCGGGAAGTCGTGTTCGGCGTACCGAGATTAAAGAAACGAACCGGCCGATTCGACGGGGCGGCGGCGGTCCACCAGGTCCAGCAAGTCGCAGCCAGTCGCAGCAGCGAGCGACAGAAATGGTGGAGACGGAGCGGCCGGGGGAGTGAGAAAGTGGGAGTGAGACAGAGAGCAGCGGCGTGCCCGACGCGGCCCGACGCGGCCCCTGGGGAGTCACCAGGATGAACCCTTTGTGGGGTCTTTCCGTTTTATACCAGAGGGCAGAGAGCAATTTCAATTTTATTATGCGGTGCAGAATTTTTCCCAATTTCCATATTAGGCTTAAACCAATCTCCCGCATAGGTTTTCATATCTCCCCCGTTTTATGGCTTCTCCTCGGCTCGCAGCGCTCTGCCCCTACACCCCGCTCCCCACCCCTCCCCCCGCCCCGACTACCCTTTCCACCTTGCCGACTGGGCTGGGTTAGGCTGGGCCAGCGTCCTCGTCCTCCTGGCTCGGGGCCGCGCGACAAACTCACCACGCCTCTGGGCGATTTGGCTCCGGAATACATTCCATACCCAGCGTCGCTCGGAGAGACCTTGACTGCGTTCACGAGACTAACCTAACCTAACCTATAACCGTGCTGACGCGGGGTGTTTCAGAACTGGGAGGTATTTTAGATTGAGGGGCGGCCAAAGTCGTCGACAAATTTCGCCCCTTTTCGAGCCATTTTTCTTTTCCAGAGTTGTACGCCGCCGATGCGAGAGCCGCACCGCGCTTACGCCGCTTACGCGTATCGCGATACACACCTCGCAAGGCGTGCCGTCGAACGCCTTCCCGGTTTCCATTCAATCCCTCCTCGCGGCGGCTCGAGTGACAAGCAGCATGGATGTATCGGCGTGGTGCTCTCCCGCGCCCCGGCATGCCCCGCAAGCGCCTCCTCTGCTTCCTAGCGTGCCGCTTGCCGGCATTTTGATTTCCCCGAGCAGGCACATCCATCCCGTATACATTGACTCGTCCCGCCGGCCGCTCAGCCCCCCGCCCTGCTGCGCCAGCGGCGGACTGATTCCGAACAGTGGTTTCGTCGCTCTGCCTCTCTCGCACTCGCTCTCGCACTCGCGCGCCGCCCGGCGGGCCTGCGAGGGAGACGGAATCGCTCCAGCGCTCTGCCTGTCACTTTCGCGCTTCGAGCGCTAGTGAGTGTTTTATTTCACCAGGGGAAATCGACGACGGGGCGGTTACTCCTCGCTTCGGGGCCGCGGCCGCGCGGCGGCGCCACTGTACGCGCGAACACTCGCTGCGGGAGCCGTTGCCTCGAAACGTTAACATGCTGCAATGCGAAAAGCCGTCAAAGCACGTGCATTGAACCGCGCGGGGCTCCTTATCGTGTTGGTCATCGAGGGTGACGGACTAGACCGCGTCGTCGACGTCGCCCACGTCGCCCACCTACCGACGGCCATGGTCCTCGCTCTCCGGAGTGCCGTACCGTCGGGGCCACGGAATGCCCTGCCGCCCCGCCCCGCCCCGCCCCTACCGCCGCCGTCGCTCTGCGGGGGCCGCTTTCCGGAAGTCGCCATTTAATATTGAGGTTGTTCGGGGGATTGTGAAGCGGAGATGCCCGCCTTGAGGGTGCAGGGAGGGAAGAAGGGGTGGTGTGGTGGCGCTGCCCGGCGCTGCCCCGGTCGCCGGAAATCGTTTCCGTCCTGCTTGTGAGATATGGAGGAGGGCGTGTACGTCACGTCGCCAGCCGAGATGACCAGCAGACCCCTGCTGCTCCTCTGCCCCTTGCCTTCCTCAGTGTAAATGTGACCAGTGAAAGTTCACACTGTGTCCAACTCAGAATTTTTCCCGCTATTAAAAAAAATGCTTTACCGATGGAACTCCACAGTACAGTGTAGCAACTTTGTCCCTCCCGATCTTTCCCTTTCGTCCGCAGCGATAACCCTGTTACGTTCCGTTGCGCGACAGTGTAGCCGCCTCATCCTCAATATTCCTTGCTCAGTTTGAGAAAGGAAAGAGAGGATCCAGTTTCGGAAGCGACATTTTATTTGTCCCCGAGAAGAATATCAAGTTAGGGCGTGTGCGTACAAGTCCCTAGACTGGGAAAGAAGAAGTCGCTCTGCAATTCAAGAGTAACTCGCTCAGGGCGTGGCGGCGTGGCGGCATGGCCGGCCGGCGAGGCGTAGACAAGGCGCAGCCAAGAAGGCGTAGACAAGGCGCAGCCAAGAAGGCGTAGACAAGGCGCAGCCAAGAAGGCGTAGACAAGGCGCAGCCAAGAAGGCGTAGACAAGGCGTGCCGGGACGTCTTGATAGGGAGCCACCGCTCAGGTCCTCTCGGGTCCGCTCGGGCCGACCCGAGCGCGGCACCCGAGCGCGCAGCCGAAGCTGGACCCGAAGCCAAGTCCCACCGAAGACCGAAAGCCGAAGGGAACTTGTGCTGAACGGGCACAGCAGAAGTCTGAATCGAAGCATCCGTCAAACACAAAACAGAAACGAACAAAAAAGTCTCTAGTCTAAGTAAAGTTTTGAAGGTTATTGTTGAATCTTTTTAAAAAATGTAAAGTATGATTTTTTAAAAATAATTGTGGCAGTTTTGTATATTGGTTTAGTGAAACTAGCATGTCCTAGAAATATTTGTCTCAGGAAGATCATTTAGTGGTCAAACTTCAACCACTATTAGATGAATTTATTCCCTAAGTTGGGGACCCTAACTCCTATTAGTTTCTGGGTTATGGAGGTTTACGTAAACTTTTGGTCGTTTCTCCCACATTCTCATCACGACAAAGGATTGGCTACCTAGTCTTCAGATTTTGGCAATCTTATCTAGTTTTGCACAGGAAAAAGATAGCGTTGGCAGATTTGGAGATATTAGTCGAGAAGAGGCTGTAAAAGAAAGCTATTTTTATTTTTCTTCAAATATATGAGATCTAGACCCAATTTAGTCTTGTTTTTGTTTTTTCAGGACAACTAAGGCTGATATTTAAAAAAAGGGCAACGCTGTCTTTTTCCTATTCAAAAATAGATAAAATTGCCAGAATCTGAAGACTGGGCAGCTAATCCTTTGTCCTGAGGAGAATTTGGGAGAAACGACTAAAACTTTACGTAAACCTCCATAACTCAGAAACTAATAGGAGTTGGAGCCCTAGTCTTAGGGAATGAGTTTATGTAATAGAAAGGAACTTTCAGCTCTAAATTGAGGCATCTGACACAAGTATTTCCAAAATGTGACACAGCCACTTTTTTTACTTTACAATAATAACCTTAATTTATTTCGAAGGTGTGGGAAAGCGTGAGTTTATGATTAGTTCAGTTTATTTAACCGTAATGCAGCTCATCACATATCCAAGCCAAGCCAAAATGCGGTTTTGAGTTCCCGTTCAGCGACCTAACCTAGATCAGTGACCGCGGCATCCAAAACAGTTACAGTTTCATTTATATTTCCGTCCAGACTGACATTTTCATTCACCCATATCTTTACTGGCAATCCAGCGCGAAAGGGGGGCAGATATTCTTTTAGAAACCACAGTAATTATTCTCCAAAACAACTCTTTATGACAAAAGTTTCAGCATGTCGCCAGGAACGTAAACACGACGGGACAAAATGGCGCCGGCACTGCAATGTGAATGTGACGTCTCGGGACCCTCGGCTTCGTCGTTCGGCTTCGGCGTTCGGCTCCGAACGTCGGCTGCGCGTTCGGTCGGGTCCGCTCACGAGAGGACCTGAGCGGTGGCTCCCTATCCATTCTAGTGCCGGGCGGGGCGACGGAGGGGGGGGGGGAGGGCGTTCATCGGCGTGGTCCATCTCCGGCACTGCAACAACAACAAGCAGAGAGAATCAAGCGCAACAACAACGTCGCGTAGGCCGTGCGCGCCGTGCGTGTCACGGAGGCATCTAAGTGCTGCTGCCCAAACCGTTTGCAAAAGTTGCTTGCATGTGTGAGTGTGTGTGTGTGTGTGGCGGGGCGTGGCGGCGGGCGGCCTGGACGGCGCGTCCCTGGGGGCGGGGTCAGGCGGGGCTCACGCTGCCAAGCTGCCCGGCGGTGCGGCCTCAGTGCCATGGCACGGCCGGGCACGGCCAGGCACGGCTGCGTTGGTCCCGAAAGCCTTTTTACAAGATGTATTTCTGACTGACATGCACCCGGGGCCGTCGGATCGTCCGGGGAAGGGACAAGGGGAGGGGGAGGCGCAGAAACTGGATTCTGTTGGAATGATACCCATGTTGGACGGAAGGCGGGGTGGGGTACTCGCTGACGCACCTTACGAAAGCAGCAGTGGCACTTTTTGGCTCCTGGTTGGCTCTGCGACGAGGGCGGTGGCTGCAGGCCTGGCTGCACGCGTGCGCGGAGGAGGGCGGAGAAGAAGCCGCCGCGGCACGCGACGTAAAAC